TTTCAATTTATCATGTGGAATGGTTGTGCAAAGTATTATAAAGAGGTCATATGTTTTGATCTGGGTGATTTTGGAGAAGTTTAATGATTTAGAATTTGTTAAAAGTTCTTCAGAGATTTTGTTTTGTTTTGAAGCCCCCGTATCGAAAATTTGGGGGTATATATTTTTTGCCCTGTCCGTCCGTCTGTCTGTCTGTCTGTCTGTCTGTTTGTCCACAAAAACTTTAACATTACCCATAACTTTTGATTGGTTGGAGCTATGGCTTTCATATTTCACCTGTGTATTCCTTGTGACCTTTCTTTGGGTTCCAAAAACTTGGACCCTTTGACCCTTGACCTAGGAGTTTTACCTACTTTTTGAACGGTTGATGCTAGGGCTTTCATACTACACATGTGTAATCCTTGTGACAAGACCTTTCTTTGGATACCAACAACTTTGATCCTTTGACCTTGACCTAGGAGTTTGACTTACTTTTGAAAAACTTTAACCTTGGCCATAACTTTTGAACGGTTGGTGCTAGGGCTTTCATACTTCACATATATAATCCTTGTGACAGGACCTTCCTTTGGATATCAACAACTTTGACCCTTTGACCTTGACCTAAGAGTTTGACCTACTTTTGAAAAATTTAACCTTGACCATAATTTTTGAATGGTTGGTGCCTTTGAATGGTTTGTGCTAGGGCTTTCATACTCCACATATGTAATTCTTGTGTCAAGACCTTCCTTTGGATACCAACGACTTTGACCCTTTGACCTTGATGTTTGAACTACTTTTAAAAACCTTTTACCTTGGTCATAACTTTTGAACGATTGGTGCTACGGCTTTCATATTTCACATGTGTATTCCTTGTGAGAAGGCCTTTCCTTGGGTACCCTTAATTTTGACCATTTGGCCTTGACCTTGATGTTTAACTTACTTTTAAAAAACTTATCCTTTTCCATATCTATTCAATCGTTGCTGCTATGGTTTTATATTTCACAGGTATATTCCTCGAGACAAGACCTTACTTTGGGTACCAACATATTGGATTTGCATTTGAGAAAGTTTAAATTTTGCTATCAGTTGCCATACGGGGGCATCAGTGTTTCACAAACACATCTTGTTTATTTTTTTTTAAATTTACATTTGAATAACAACACAATATGTTGTTGCACATTATTGCTGAAGTTTCTCCCTCAATGTTTTTAATAGTTTCGTGAGGAGTAAAGTAAGTTGAAAGTAAGATGTTCTCTCTGCATTGGAAAAACATTTACTGGACCCTGCAATGTATCTTTGTAAGGATTTCGATGAAGTTTTGGAATCTACAGGTATGATAATTCGAATTCAATTTGGTCTGGAGATATTGAAAATATTTTAAACTGACAAATGGTTTTGAAGAATCAAGCCCGTAGCAACGGTTTCAAAGGTATGGGGGGTGCAACTTCCCAAAACACCTGAAAAGCAATGAGAAAAAAAAAACTAAACTGACCAAAAGTGGGGGGGGGGGGCACTTCCAAAAATTATCTGACAAGCAAAAAAAAAAAAAAAAAAAAGCGAATTTACTGTACAAATCCTACAATTTGCCAATGTACTCGACTTTACAACGTCAAAAGGGAGGGGGGACCAGCATCTTAATGAAAATTTACTATAGCAAAATACTATACTCAGAAAAAAGTGGGGGGGGGGGGGCTAAGTTTTACAGTTTTACGGAATCTCTTTCTTTGATAATGGAACTATAAGTTGAATTACCAGTTGTAGAATTAAATTCAACTTCCTCTAAAATGCAATCTTACAAACAGAAATAAGTCTCATCACGATGGTCTGGCTGTAGTGATAAATGATTAGAGTTGGTTAGAAGCACAGTCTTAAGATATATATTCTATCAGAATACCAAATCTCGTGGATTCAGTTGGAGAATCTAGTGGTTCCAATTGACATACATGTTCTGTCTGGAAACATTTCTGCGGACAAAAAGCGGGAAAGTTTTCAAGTACTGATTCCAAACAACAGGAAAAGAAATTATTTTGCACACCCATGAATTTGCAAAAAGGTTAAAGACAACGAAGGATTTGTGTAACTAATTTCAACTAGTAATAAAGTGAATTGTTTAAGTGAAGGAGAGGAGACGATTATGGAAGATGTCCGTCTGAATTCTGGGTGCCCACTGAACGAGAACGTGTCCCTAGTTAAACAATTTTTATGTAAGTTATATGTTCAGCAAGGATAATATTGTCGCCGATGTCAATATGTACCGATGACGACAATATGTGCAGAGAGAGTGGGTACACTAGTGTACATATTGTATAGGGTGACAAAATGTACCGGATTGGAATATCATTAGTCTAGACAGACTGATTAAAATCAACCCCCTTTCTCCTATTGCCCACGACGATAGGAGAAAAGGGGTTATTTCAACGATATGAGAAGGGGCTGGTTTTCATCCGACGGTAAGTCAAGAAAACGTGGTTTATGACAAAAGGGTTTTAAGAAAACAAAGTTGGTTTAGATATCTCATATGCAATTTTCAGACTTTGATAATTTTTTTTAAGCTAATTCCACTGAATTTCAGGATTTGTGTGATTTTATAAATATTACCTTCCACAATTTTAGGTTGCAAAGTACAACGTTGATATTGCAAGGACTAGATTAACATGTAACTACACACGTCTTTTTAAAAACTTCATGTATTAAAGGATAAGGTCGCAACAAAGAGTTTCGACACACTGCACTGTAAAAAGTAGTGTTCAATTTTAACATGTTCATGTGTTATTTGATCCACGGCAGTGTTAAAACTTGAACGCATCATGTATTAAAGGTGTAAAATCTTAAACGCATAGTGCATTTAAGTATTCCATGTACTCTGCTTTAACATATATGTGTTAATAGCTTCTTTAGTCTTCTTGCAAGTTTATTCAATTAATATTACAAGTTTTTTTTTAACTTTGATTTTATGAATATAAATTTCTAGCTTGTGTAAAAATTCTGTAACTCCCCCGACTGATGTATTTTCTAAACAGATATCAATACCTTAGTATACAAATATGTGTATCTAATTTTAGGTGTATATATCAATTTATATGCATTACATGTACACTAACATGATTAATAATATTCATTATTTGTTTGTCAACAATATCATTAAAAATCCTTGAATTGTTTTTGTTGAAAAAAAAAACCACTTGAATGCAAGTAACTGACACATACTATATTGTTAAATAACACCAGTGTTAAAATTAGGATTATTTCATTAACACATTAAGTGTATTATCTTCGTGCCTGGCCTCTCTCTAGTTGACCTATACATGTAACCTTTTGCCGCCGCATCAGTAATTTCTTTGTTTCAAAGAAAGCGGTCAGCAGAAAATTCAAAGAAAGGATTGCCAACTTCGGTGTGTTCTTGTGTGAAAGGGTAAGTTGATTTTTGAGTAATTTTTACACAAACTGTAATAAAAATATTATCTCAATAACATTTTAAATATATAATTATTTTTTCAAAACTGTTATCATAAGCACTTGAATTATGCATTCTTTGGTCGGTTGAGTCAAGTAAACAAAGAGTAGATATTGTACTAATTTGTAAACGTTTTCAAAAACTCTAGCTCATTCTTTTGATTTTTAATAGATTATTTTATGATATTTAGCACACTTACAAACTTAAAAGTATTTGCTTATGCATTTCCATCATTTATTTAGATCGAATGCCCAGTCAGTAGAAAACCTACCATCAAAACATCTCAAAGGATCTCGAGTCTGAAGAGGAATATCCCCCTTTAAGTGATGAAGAAATTGTTGTAATATACGTCGTTGGAGACGGATGTAAAATATTAGAAACTATGAATGCACTGGACTACCCAGTAATTTACGGACAGGTTTTGGGTATTTTGCAACTCTGGGTGCATGGTCGGTGATATTTTTACACAAAACAAAACTACAAACTGGAACAATTTAGTGAGCAATTTGGACATGCATATGTTAAAAAATAAAATTATTCTCGTAAAATGTGTATTTATCTTTGTTTTTCCCAACAGGACAACAGACAAAAGGAAAATAATGAGGATTTTATTTTTCATAAAAATGTGTTAACTGGTTAACATCAGCTTTGGAATTAACACGTTAAAGTGTGAATTAAGTGTTTCCAGGGGTTTTAACGTGTAATGTGTTAATTTTATGAAACATTTCTACATGTTAATAGATCAACACACACGTTAATGTATTTACACTTTAACGTGTGAATTAAGTGTTTCCAGAAAAGTGTTAATAATTGTGTTAAATTATTTACACTTCTTTTTACAGTGTGGGACTAGCTCGGTATCCGATGATTCAGAATCTCTTCCTTTACACTTCCTGTTTAAAATGCTATTTTTTTCTTCATGTCAATCATAATGAAGATTTTTTTCACACACATAATTGCCGTTTCCTTGACTCGATACTAGTAATACAAATGAAACTGTTTCCAGCATATTTTAATTTGTCAATTCAACTTAAAGAATTTACCTTTTGTGTGTCTATGCATATTTCTTTTTAACGTTCTACTCTTTGAACACATTCTTGGACCTGCATTTGCACATTAAAAATGCTCAGACAGGCTGGAAATCAAACAATAAATTATAATTCATACTATTTTTTCTTTTTTCATTTGTGTTTGGACTTTTTGGTTTTATTTGTGTTTGAACTTTTCTGGATTTATTTTGTCCGACTGATGCTGTCACAGGATTGACCAAAATAAAATGGTGGAATTTTGATTAAGGAGCAAAGTACTGTAAATCAAAAACTTTATTTTCTTGTTGATATGGGAGACCATCTGAATAAAAAAACAAGGTTCTCATGGATAACCAAATGCCAGGTTTATTGTATCGCAAGAACAAAAGGGAAAAAAGTCTGTGAATACAGTGTTTGTGCATTGCAAATACATGTATAAAGTCCTGCGAAATATGTGTGATTTAAAATATTATTTTGTGAAATGAAAGAACAGCAAAAATTTCATAATTTATTTGAAATTCAATATTGTAATTTATATTCCAAAATACAAAATAGTTCTGCTACTCCAAAATCTATTGAGATCATAAGGTATCAAAACGTGCAAATTTGAAAAGATTTATAGCTGTGTAAAAAGTTACTTGTAGCAAGGAAAGATGAACCATCTATATTTGTTTTTCTTAAAAATAAATTTATAGTAACTATGTATGGTTCACAGAATATAAGAGGTAGATATTATTTGATTTTGCATAAATTATCTTATATCAAGAATCTTCAAAAACACACAAGGCACTTTTTACTAAATAAAAGAGAACTTGCATCTCTTATTTTGTAAGGATCCATATTCTTTAGACTTAACATCCTTAATTTCATCAGAATAAAAAACACTGTATAAATACACAAGAACAATCATAACAGAATTACCACTCCAAGTACCATGTACATCACATTCATGTGTTAGAGTTAGATGTGACACTGTCGAGTCTGGCTAGGTACTCCTCAAGGTATTGGGCTTTATGTATTGGTGTTAGACATGACACTGTTGACTTTGGCTAGGTACTCCTCGAGGTACTGGGCCTCCTCCTGTAGAGTGAGGTCCAGGTAATCCTCCTCATCCTTTGGGAGATCAGACACGAGGTCCTCTATAGTCCGTCTCTCTTCCTCAGATGTCCTGTGGGAGGGTCCAGCCTCAGAGTCCGGGGAACTTCCTGGTAAAAAAGATGACTCTCACTTTTCTACCAACATACATGTAACTGAGTAGTATCTCTCTTCTGCAGGTTTAGATCCCCCATATCATTACACTTACAGAATTATGGTTTTTATAGAGTATATTTAGAGTGTTATGGTCCATAAGTTTGCACATATTTTGTTGTGTGAGTGAAGTTCAAAACGTGATTTAATCATTTGTGCATGTCAAAAAATAACAAAAGCCCACTGATCACCTTTTCAGAGGTAAAAAAGGTTAATTTTTTGATTTTTCATGAAAATAAGACATACTTTTCATGATACAGTGAAACTTGTCTAATCTGAATGTTGTGTATTCCAAAATTTTGCCTAATACAATGTTAACATTAAGTCCCATTCTGTAAATTCTCTTGTTTAAAATGTTGTCTTATCTGGAATGTTGTCTAAACTGGCCAGTTTCTATGGAACCAGTGGTGTCCGGATTAGACAAGTTTTACTGTAATACAGAAAAACATTGGGATTAAATGCATCACTTCTGCATTATAACATGAAACTTTTGCAAATAAACACATGACTTTTGCATATGACATGAAACTTCTGGTTATAACCAAAATTTCATGATATAATGCTAAACTTTTGCAAATAAACCTGTAACATCATTAATTAATGACAAACTAAGATTAGTAAGATGGATTTAAGGGACGCTCACATGAATTTTAAATCTTTGACTCTTTCTTTAATCAAGGGAATCAAGTACCAATTGTGTCATACACTGTAGAATTTATTTTATTCTGTTCTACATCCAAGGATAGATTGATCACTCTAACTGCATAAATTGCATGTTTATGTAAGTATATACATGTAATACAAGTTAATGTAATTAATACTCTTCAGTGAGTGAAATTTTTCACATTTATTGTGATTTACCTGTTTCTTCATGAAAGTTTACATTACAAGATGAAAGTTATATGTGAATTCACAAATGCTTTGCTTATAACATGAGAAAGTTATTTTTTACTTGAATGGATTTTCATAAAAATAACTCACTCTTAAAAATCTTACATGAGCAAGCTTGTAGAGAAAGATTTCATGAAAATTTATCATTAAAAGGCTTGGAACAAGTTTGTGACACCCTTTTGACAAATAAACTTGCTCAATGACCATACTTTTATTTTGACTGGAACCTGATTCAAACTTTATTCAGTACCGTACTGAATTTATTTTAGCAAACATGTTAAGCAGGTTTTTGTTTTTGGTCCTCTGCGTAGATAGCGTAGATAGAGTTGGTGAGGTCACTAAATTTATTTTAATTAACTTTATTACCATTTTCCCCATAATAAATAAGATATTTTAAAATTATTAAATTTTACAGTTGTCAGAATCATAAGTTTGACTACAAAGAAAATATTACATTTCTGCCAAGTATTTCCCCTAATTAAATATCTGCAAAGTTACAAACCATAAAGACCATCTTTATTAACATTAATTACAAGTGTGTGAAAGCAGCTGTGAAATGCAGAGTGAATTCACATACAATTTCTAGAGAATATTATGTAGAAACTGAATCTTCATTTTATTCCCAATATACTAACAATCCAGTCAAAAAGTCCTGTGTAAGTTGATGTGCTATTTAAGACACTTTTAATTAGGAACCCATGCCTTGTCTAAGCTACTAGACGATGTGCTATATAAAATACTTAAGATACCCCACATCTAAACCTTATCTGAGCTGCTAGATGATGTGCTGTATAAGATACTTTAATTTAGATACTCCAATCTAAATCTTCTCTGAGCTGCTAGATGATGTGCTATATAAGATACTTTAATTTAGATACTCCACATCTAAATCTTCTCTGAGCTGCTAGATGATGTGCTATATAAGATACTTTAATTTAGATACCCTGCATCTAAATCTTCTCTGAGCTGCTAGATGATGTGCTATATAAGATACTTTAATTTAGATACTCCACATCTAAATCTTCTCTGAGCTGCTAGATGATGTGCTATATAAGATACTTTAATTTAGATACCCTGCATCTAAATCTTATCTGAGCTACTAGATGATGTGCTATATGAGATACTTTAATTTAGATACTCCAATTAATCTTCTCTGAGCTGCTAGATGATGTGCTATATAAGATACTTTAATTTAGATACTCCACATCTAAATCTTCTCTGAGCTGCTAGATGATGTGCTATATAAGATACTTTAATTTAGATACTCCAATTAATCTTCTCTGAGCTGCTAGATGATGTGCTATATAAGATACTTTAATTTAGATACTCCACATCTAAATCTTCTCTGAGCTGCTAGATGATGTGCTATATAAGATACTTTAATTTAGATACCCTGCATCTAAATCTTATCTGAGCTACTAGATGATGTGCTATATGAGATACTTTAATTTAGATACTCCACATCTAAATCTTATCTGAGCTACTAGATGATGTGCTATATAAGATACTTTAATTTAGATACTCCAATCTAAATCTTCTCTGAGCTGCTAGATGATGTGCTATATAAGATACTTTAATTTAGATACCTCACATCTAAATCATATCTGAGCTGCTAGATGATGTGCTATAAAAGATACTTTAATTTAGATACCCTGCATCTAAATCTTATCTGAGCTACTAGATGATGTGCTATATGAGATACTTTAATTTAGATACCCCACATCTAAATCTTCTCTGAGCTGCTAGATGATGTGCTATATGAGATACTTTAATTTAGTTACTCCACATCTAAATCTTCTCTGAGCTGCTAGATGATGTGCTATATAAGATACTTTAATTTAGATACCCCACATCTAAAGCTTATCTGAGCTACTAGATGATGTGCTATATAAGATACTTTAATTTAGATACTCCAATCTAAATCTTCTCTGAGCTGCTAGATGATGTGCTATAAAAGATACTTTAATTTAGATACCCTGCATCTAAATCTTATCTGAGCTACTAGATGATGTGCTTTATGAGATACTTTAATTTAGATACCCCACATCTAAATCTTCTCTGAGCTGCTAGATGATGTGCTATATGAGATACTTTAATTTAGTTACTCCACATCTAAATCTTCTCTGAGCTGCTAGATGATGTGCTATATAAGATACTTTAATTTAGATACCCCACATCTAAATCTTATCTGAGCTACTAGATGATGTGCTATATAAGATACTTTAATTTAGATACTCCAATCTAAATCTTATCTGAGCTGCTAGATGATGTGCTATATAAGATACTTTAATTTAGATACCCTGCATCTAAATCTTATCTGAGCTGCTAGATGATGTGCTTAAATAAGATACTTTAATTTAGACACCCTGCATCTAAATCTTCTCTGAGCTGCTAGATGATGTGCTATATAAGATACTTTAATTTTGATACTCCATATACAAGCCTTACCTGAGCTGCTAGATGAGCTCTCATCTGATGATGAAGGTAGCACACTACCTTCCTGTATTAATTCCTCTAGCGCTTTCTGCACATTTCCACTGAATAACTGTAAGGCTCTGCTAGCCATAACAGGATCAAAACCCATTGCCACCACCTTTAGGAAAATTTTAATATGAATCTATACTTAAATTATACACCTCATCTACGGCTTCATCCACAAACTTTCTAATTATTGGACTTAAGCTTCCATGTTTGTTTTATTTGTAAACAAAGGTTACTTAGAATGCATTGGAAAATGGTGTAAGAATATTTGTTATTTATAATATAATTTGGATTTTTGTCATTTGCCAGAAAAACATAAAGTTTAAAAAAAATTCACTCAGCCTGTTTTTGAGATGGTTTCCTTTTCATTCATACCCAAAATGGGATGTGTGGGTTTTTTTTTTCTCCCTTACAATATGTGATCTGGCTGATATAATTTATTATTTTCTTTCTTTCTTTTTTTTGGACAAAGAATTCCGGCACTGTGATTGGTTCTATACATACATTACCTGAGCAATCATGTCATCTGTAATGTTCACCGATTTCTTTTCTGGATCTGGTAGGTGTAAGAGCTCAGGATGTAACTGTAGAACCTTCAAATGAGGGGAAAATAATGAAATGAAAGAAAAAGTGAGCAAGCTCAGATACCCCACGCTCCCCCAAAACTCAACAATGCAACACATTTTAAATACACAGTATAATAATTCAAAAAGGGGCATTACTTGCAAAAAATCATCACATCAAAACTTCTTGCATATAAGGACATTAAATTTTTGTATGTTACAAACTTAATTGGGCTGAAGTTTCTAGATAAATAATGGAATCAAAATTTCTTGGTAATATACAAATCAATACTTTATGTCTGAAATACCTACAAAGTTTCAGGAATTTCAGTGCAGGAGTTATGCTGACAAACTGTTTTTTAAATTCCTCAGTGATTTCGATTTGTTAATGAGTGCAAGTCCATGTCCAACACATGACAATTTACACATTTAATTAATTGATGGAAACAAAATTATGATGTAGTCATATGAATTTGTTTTTATATACTGTATTTATGAAATTATTTAAGGCAAAGCACCAATTTGAGAGGGGTGGGTGGGGGGTGGGGGTAGGGGGGGGTTGAGAACTATCCAAGATTTTGTGTGTGTATGTGTGTTAAATCATTACTATTTTGATCTCAAAATCAATAGGGGTCTTTTAAGGTCATAAAATATTTCACATAAAATTTAATTACAAAAGCTGATTCCAGTGGATTTCCTTATTACCTAGCTGGAAAGTTTCTTCAATAATAAGCAAAACTCTTAAGGCAAAAATAATGGAATCGGAATTTCCTGGTAATATGCACATCTACACACTGTGTCCTAAATATCTGCAAAGTTTTACCAAATTCTGTGCAGCGGTTTAAGAGGAGTTGCGCTGACAAACTGTTCATCTCTATATTCAAGATATGGCCAAAAATCTAAGTTGAAAAGTGCCGAAATTCCAAGAAAAATGATGGAATCGGAATTTCCTGGTAATGTGCACATCTACACATTGTGTACTAAATATCTGCAAAGCTTGACCAAATTCTGTGCAATGGTTTATGAGGAGTTGCGCTGACAAAAAAACAGGACTGACTGACTGACTGACTGACGGACGGGTCAAAAACATTATACCCCCCGCAACTTGTTGCGTGGGGTATAAAAATGTTACAGCAAAACTTCAGTAGTCTTGAGCTACTCCATCAGCCTGAGCTGGCTTTATGATGAGTGGCTTCCCCTCAACAAGACAGGACATCCCTCAAGTCAAGTTATCAAACAAGACTAAGACATACTGATAGAGCCTTATGCTATTTTTTTTACAACAGAATAAAACTAAGAAAATTACACTGTAGTGAAATTACCATTAATATAATATACCTTGAGTAAAGAACAATAAGGCCATGAACCACAACTCTCTTCTGAATCACCTTAACCCTGTTGTAAATGATTTTTTTAAAAGATTTTTTTGTGGTCAGTACATGTATTAGAAAAATCCTCAACTGTAAGGCCTGGTTCACATTGTTGTCAGTCTGATTGAGGTCAATAGTAACTAGAAGATATACTTCTCACCTCTATAGAAGGTCAGTACTAGATATATTTCTCACCTCTGTAGAAGGTCAGTTGTAGATATATTTCTCACCTCTATAGAAGGTCAGTAGTAGATATATTTCTCACCTCTACAGAAGGTCAGTACTAGATATATTTTTCACCTTTACAGAAGGTCAATAGTAGATATTAGTTTCTTATTTCTCACCTCTACAGAAAGTCAGTAGTAGACATATTTCTCACCTCTATAGAAGGTCAGTAGTAGATATATTTCTCACTTCTACAGAAGGTCAGTACTAGATATATTTCTCACCTCTACAGAAGGTCAATAGTAGATATTAGTTTCTTATTTCTCACCTCTACAAAAGGTCAGTAGTAGATATATTTCTCACCTCTATAGAAGGTCAGTAGTAGATATACTTCTCACCTCTACAGAAGGTCAGTAGTAGATATATGTTTCATCTCTATAGAGGGTCAGTAGTAGATATATTTCTCACCTCTAAAGCCTGGTTCAGGTCTATGTCTGTCTGAGGTCAGTATTAGATATATTTCTCACCTCTACAGAAAGTCAGTAGTAGATATATTCCTCACCTCTAAGGCCTGATTCAGGTCTATGTCTGTCTGAGTTCAGTATTAGATATATTCTTCACCTCTTAGGCCTGGTTTAGATCTATGTTTGTCTGATGTCAGTATTAGATATATTTCTCACCTCTAAAGCCTGGTTCAGGTCTATGTCTGTCTGAGGTCAGTATTAGATATATTTCTCACCTCTACAGAAGGTCAGTAGTAGATATATTCTTCACCTCTAAGGCCAGGTTCAGGTCTATGTCTGTCTGAGGTCAGTATTAGATATATTTCTCACCTCTACAGAAGGTCAGTAGTAGATATATTCTTCACCCCTAAGGCCAGGTTCAGGTCTATGTCTGTCTGAGTTCAGTATTAGATATATTTCTCACCTCTACAAAAGGTCAGTAGTAGATATATTTCTCACCTCTATAGAAGGTCAGTAGTAGATATACTTCTCACCTCTACAGAAGGTCAGTAGTAGAAATATGTTTCATCTCTATAGAAGGTCAGTAGTAGATATATTTCTCACCTCTATAGAAGGTCAGTAGTAGATATATTTCTCACCTCTACAGAAGTTCAGTAGTAGATATATTTCTCACCTCTAAAGCCTGGTTCAGGTCTATGTCTGTCTGAGGTCAGTATTAGATATATTTCTCACCTCTACAGAAAGTCAGTAGTAGATATATTCCTCACCTCTAAGGCCTGATTCAGGTCTATGTCTGTCTGAGTTCAGTATTAGATATATTCTTCACCTCTTAGGCCTGGTTTAGATCTATGTTTGTCTGATGTCAGTATTAGATATATTTCTCACCTCTAAAGCCTGGTTCAGGTCTATGTCTGTCTGAGGTCAGTATTAGATATATTTCTCACCTCTACAGAAGGTCAGTAGTAGATATATTCTTCACCTCTAAGGCCTGGTTCAGGTCTATGTCTGTCTGAGGTCAGTATTAGATATATTTCTCACCTCTACAGAAATTCAGTAGTAGATATATTCTTCACCTCTAAGGCCAGGTTCAGGTCTATGTCTGTCTGAGGTCAGTATTAGATATATTTCTCACCTCTACAGAAGGTCAGTAGTAGATATATTCTTCACCTCTAAGGCCAGGTTCAGGTCTATGTCTGTCTGAGGTCAGTATTAGATATATTTCTCACCTCTACAGGTCAGTAGTAGATATATTCTTCACCTCTAATGCCAAGTTCAGGTCTATGTCTGTCTGAGGTCAGTATTAGATATATTTCTCACCTCTACAGAAGGTCAATAGTAGATATATTCCTCACCTCCAAGGCCTGATTCAGGTCTACATGTATGTCTGTCTGAGGTCAGTATTAGATATATTCTTCACCTCTTAGGTCTGGTTTAGATCTATGTTTGTCTGAGGTCAGTATTAGATATATTTCTCACCTCTACAGAAAGTCAGTAGTAGATATATTCCTCACCTCTAAGGCCTGATTCAGGTCTATGTCTGTCTGAGGTCAGTATTAGATATATTCTTCACCTCCTAGCCCTGGTTTAGATCTATGTTTGTCTGATGTCAGTATTAGATATATTTCTCACCTCTAAAGCCTGGTTCAGGTCGTTGTCAGTCTGTCTGAGGGCCGCTGCTGCAGCTCCTTTACCATACCCCATGCTGACCAGGTTCTCGTATAGGGATACATTTACCCTGAAATCATCAAAATGTAAATATTCTGGTAATTCCATCTTAATAGCAACTTTATCTACTGTATGTGTACTTTAAAAAGCAGGCTTCATCTTTTAGCGGCTTTGCCGCAGAGAACGATGCGCTACTTCAGGAAAAACGCTAAGAAATCTTTTATAAATACAATATACGGCACAGACATGTATAGCGCTAATTCATGATTTCGCCAACAACTCCATACCCAGTGACTGCACTAAACTTTGAATACGCCAATTTATGTACACGTACAGTATTTCAAGATTTTATGCTCTCGTATGAGATATACTTTGCACACCTTTTTCCTGAGGCTGTTTCACCCAGATCTTTTTTAATTTTCTTCATTCTACGTTCCTCTTTAACTTTCTTTTCAATTTCTTCTTTCTCCTAATATTTAAAAAATGATAAAGCTTGATTAACAAAATATTTGAAATACTTGTATGAATCAGAGAGCTTGAATACTTCAGATTTTTTTCAGCATCAAATTTTCGAAAAACTGACAAAAGGCATCCCTGGATTAAGGGGATTCAATTATTTTTGGCTAATGAATTGCCGAGTCCTTTAGAATTAAAAAATATCAAAAATAAATTAGGTACTAATGAAAATAGTGTGAATTTATTCTCAGTTTGGTATCTAGCATGTATATGTATTTTAGTATTGGCAAGAAAAACATAAAAAGGGTAAGAAGTGAAATGAATATCAATAAATAGAATTGATTAGAATTTAATTCTTCTAGATATTCATAAAGTATATCCAATTTACAGCTTTTTGTTCACAGGAATTTTTGCAGACATTGGTTTTCATGCAATTTGTGCAGCGAAGTCAATTCTAAATGATATACTCAAGTGAAAATTTACAACTGAGTTCAGTTGGTAACAAATTGCATCTAAAACCGCAATTCAAAAGCCAAGCAGTTCACCATTCTAGTTATATGGGAAAAATAAATTTTTATTATCATTGTGTTGAACAAAGATTTTGGTCAAGGAAAAAAACTTTGATAGAAATTGTCAAAATTACCTTCCTTTTTTCAATAATGTGCTGTATGGCTTTAGTGACGTCTCCGCTCGTGGCTCTTAACCCAAGACGACCCTCTCGTTCATCAAACCCCATCATCATTACTATACAACAAAACACTCCTATTTACTCATGCAATCACATCAATAAAAATATATAAAAATATACAATTATGATAGAACAAAAGACTGTTAATATAGAAACTATACAACTACTGGTGAAACATGCCAACAGCTATTGAGAGTGTGTACCTTGTGAAAGTTTGTTTTCATCAACTTGAAGCCTGCTGAGCTCTTCCTCTGCCTACCATAGAAGATTATTATCAATTTGTCATCATACTTTACCAAACACTCTCAAAATTTCTCTCTTTGAAATCTGATGTATCATTTTTGATGGAATTTTCTTAATTAACCATGAAAAACATATTTAACATCCCGCCCCTTCAATCATGAATCAGTTGTACCTTTTTAAGATGTGAGTGTGCCTCTGCTATTCTGTGATGGTGGAAGGCCACAATGCCTTGTAGGAGATGTAGCTTCATATATAGAGCTAACTGTGTTCCAGACTCTCCCTACAACAACAATAGGAAATGGATATTAAATAATGAAACCAACTCTATAAATGTCAGTGAATAGTTTAGTATGAAGAAAATAGGCAGACCTTGACAGCAGCCACCCTCTCTAAGTTGGCTCCATAACTTCTTATAAAGCATTCCTCACTAGATCTGAGTCTTTGGTCTAAATAAAAAAGATTAGTGTAAATGGAGTTATTGTTCCTAATGCATTGGTAGTGCTATAAAAGTCATGATTATTTTCTTGAAAGTGGTTGATTGCACTGAGTCATTTAACGAAACAAAAGTTTTTCTGATATACCTGCATCTGGCAGTTCTTCTACATTCTGTAAACATAAGTAACACCATACAATGTCCAAACATAAAACTGCATAGTTATCTACAGCAGTCAAAATGTTTGCTCCACACTTCCTACAAAAAATAACACTTCATTTACATTTGAACCTTGGTATCTCAATCATTCATATCTCAAATACCATGGATATGTTGACGTGAGTTGGAAGTCCCAACTTTCTCTTTGTATTTAAACTTTGATATCTCAAATCTTTGGATATCTCTGTCCAATCAAGTTCACATAATAATGGTAGAAATCTGAATGTATTTATTTATCATTTACGTAAAAATACACAAATTTAGAGATTTCTTTAAAAATAATGATTTATGAAGAGAACATTTATGTTTGACAGAATAAAAATTGTTGCTCTGACCTGAATTCCTTGTCAGCCTCCAGTAACAATAATAAGGCTTTTGTGATTTCTTTTTTCTTTAAGGCCACTCTTCCCTTCTCATGCAATGTCATAGCTAGAGTTAAAGCCTAAATCACAAAGAGAATTATCAAACTCATATATTTAATGTAGTTTATTACACAAATTTCATGAAACAGTTGAATATTATTTTCCAGCTAGACTAAGTATACATTTAATTACATTTGTTGGACTTCAGATTTTCAACATACAGTTGAGGTATCAGTTCGGTATCTCGAACACGGATATCTCGAATACGTGGTTATGTCGAAGTGATTTGGAAGTCCCAAGCACTTTTTCTATGAGTATTTTTACCCTCAATATCTCGAACCCTTGCATATCTCAAAGTTTAATCTTGGTCCCCCCGAGTTCGAGATAACAAGGTTTGACTGTATATACATTGTACACATGTACTATCTGACAATCGTTTGATCTATAAATACACATGTAATAAATTGTGACCTTTTTTTCCTCTGGTGGTAGTTGTAAAGGCCGTCCTGACTGGTCTGCTATTTGAATGTTAACATCATAATCATCTAAATATAATAAAGATATCAATAATTAACCTATTGATAATACACAATGTACTGAAAATTAAGTCAAAATATTGCCTTGATATATGAATGTCAAGAAATTTATTAATGTAAAAAGTATGATAACCTTTTCCCACTTTGTTGGACAGGAGTTCTGCAGCCTGGCGAGTGTTCATCATTTGTAGAACTTCGTCTTCTTTCTGTGCTGCTTCTGCCTCAGATACAGACAGACAAAGACACATTATCTGAGACCCATGCTGTAAAATAAATCGTCAACACTCATAGATTTTTACTATTTCAAAGAAAGTAGGAATTAGTACTTAATAATAAAAAAAAAATGAAGAGAACAAAAGAATAAGACAAGAAAAGCAACCCTCCATGAGATACAATCTGACCTTAACATTCTGTTCCTGGAGTTGTTTATTCATGCTGATCACATGACCATGACAGATTATCTTCAGATGATGTGCTGGTAAGCCCAGTCTCTCTGACAATATCTGCCTCAGATCATGGCCAGTACATGTCAGTTGTATTTCTACTGTCTCTGTTACTCTAATTTTTTCCTGCAAAATTTAGCACATGATGTTTAAAAATGTCAAAACTACTTATATTAACAAAATGGGAAATGGTCAAATGCAGGCTATCTTTTACTGATGTACCTTATTTTCTCTTTGGCCTGAAGCTTTAATTTTCAATATGGCCTTTCCTGTCTTTTGAAACTGATCCCTTTCGGACAGTTTTTGTAAAGCATGCTGTCGCAAGTGCTCAAGCATTTCTCTAATTTCAAAAGCAGGGATCTGCAAATCTCTGGAGTATTCCTCACATAAAGCCTAAACATACAGGAAAATTAAGCTCTAGATATATATGAAAATAAAAAAAAAGAATTATTACAAGGTAACACTGTTAAATTGTTCATTACAACCAAGGAAACAAATAAAATATATTTTATATATACTTTTTCTCTCCCACATTTCTACAACTCACACCTGCGGAATATTGCCCTCGTTATTATCTGCAGATGTGTATGGAGGTAGCCAAAGTTTTATTTTCTCGGCGTTCAGCCTCTGTCTAACTTTCTGAACCTGCAATTCTTTTGTATAGGTTGTTTCCTCCATAATTAATACACTGAAAAGAACATCAATAAGAAAATGCTGATACTGAAATTAAAAATCCCATCTTTTCTTAAAAAACACACGAATGGGCAAAGGCATCCTCACCAAAACTGTTTCCCTGAAAGGTTGATGTCTCCGGATAATTAAAACAAAAAAATGTAAGTAGCAAACATTTCTCCTATGAGATTATGTCGAATCTTAAAATAGATATTGCTCACTCTCTCTGCGACGAATTTTTAATCAAATGTGCAGCGTCAACGTTCGAACTTTCGCTTTCATGTTTACGTTTTACCGTAGTTTCGTATCTCGGGAGCACTAAACACCACATAGTAGAAATAAAACATTGAAAAGACCAACATTTTGCGGGGGCTGGGTGAAGACTGAAAATAAGAGTGAAAAGCAAATTTATATATAAAATAACAACGAATATTCAATTAAATACACGTTACGATTAACTATTAGACGGGGGTGAATTTTGAAACTGAAGGCATGCTATCGAAAGTGTCATAAGAATCAGGCGCGGATTCAGGAATTTTTTCCAAGGGGGATTCCACCCCAGGCAAAATGAAAAATTATAACAAAACAAAACCAAAAAAAAAAAAAACCAACAACAATAAACAAACAAACAAAACCAAACAAACAAGAAAAGAAATTTATTGGCAAGCCCCCAAAACCCCGTACACTCCTTTAATTTCCCTAATGTTAAAAAAACCTATTTCGCGCGCGCGCGTGTGTGTGGGTAGGGTTGGGGGTTGTAGCCGCTTCACTTCTTAAGCTTCAAATGTATGACTTTTCCTACCAACTTAACAGGGGTCCGCTTTTTTTTTTTCTTTTTTTTTTTTGATGAAGGGGGGGAGGGGGGGGTGTCCAAGGTCACTTTTAGTTGCTTTAGTATATACATTAAATACCTCTGCAAATTCTAGGGGGGATGTCCGGACCCCCCGACCCCCCTCTAGATCCGCGCATAAGAATAGTTCTAAATAAATTAAGATGTCTTAGGACAAGACTTGGATGGCCCTAAGAGCTAGAGTTCTTAGGACAGACTTACAAGCTCTCTTAAATTAGGAGTGTCATAACTAGGATATACGTACTTAGCGTTAAAGCATTGTGCACGTCCGAGACAATACTCCTCCGTGTGAACCTATTAGCGTTGAGTAATGTGGTCAACCTACCAATGGATGTGTATAAATTATCCTGCAGTAAACGGTGCCGATGACCTAGCATTCAAAAAGCTAAATATGTCAATTCGGCTTAAGCATCCATTGAGCAGTGACCTGATCAAAATAATGTGGTTCAGCTCATTTGAACCCAGACCCAAAAAGCTGTGGACTCCTAACCATTTAGTGCCAGTTGTACACGAGTCAAGTAAAAACGTCAGTCCTCATCAGGAAATTAACTTCAAGTTTCAAGAGAAGATGTCGAAACATGCAGAAACAACATCCAAATATGCAAAGCAAAGTAAGGAATCCTCCATCACCTCAAATTTCCAAAGGATCCAAATCACCAACCCCCTCTCCGTTTGTACATCACCACCTACAGTGGAAAAAATAGCCACGAACCAAAAACACGCCAATTCAGAAGAAACAACACCAAAAGACGCAAAAGCAAAGCAGGAGTCCTCCATCACCTCCACTTTCCATAGGATCCATATCACCACCCTCCTCTTCGATTGTGCCATCCCCGCTTAAAGTGAAAAAAAAACCACGAGTCAAAAGCACATTTCTATCTCCAAACTTCAAAATAAAAAGGAAAAAAGAGAGAGACCAAAACCATTATCGCCACTGACATCCCCAAACTCCAGCTTTAATTCTCCATTGAATGTGTCAAATCGCTTTTCAGTATTCGAGGATGATGAGGGCTGTATTGATGAAATGGAATGTAATCAGGATGAAGAGGATCAACCGGACACACCAGTGTTAAACAAAATTGTTACCAAATCGACACCAAAGGGAGTTGTAAACAACATACCACTTGACCCTAAAGAAAGCGTGCTTGTACTCGTACAGGGGACCATATCCACCAAACACGAATTTCCGGACGATTGTGGAGTGTAGGGGCGTGCCGGCACAACGATGAATTCTACTTTTATAGCTAAGGACGGTACTCTGAAGACAGTGGTCGTTAAGGAAAACCGTCTGTACGTAGAGAAAAAGGTCCAAAACCAAAGCCATTACGTTCCACTGGAGCCCCATCCTAATGAAGACATTATTGTGATGTGTCATAGATCCTATTCTGAGGAATACAAAAGGAGAGTTACCATCTTTACCAAATTACCACCTCATCACCAGGAAAAGAAAACATTGCAATCGTCGAATATCAGAGCTTGTATGAATTCAAGAAGATTCCCCACGGCAACAGCATCAGAACATCTGTGCCCTATGTTCGAACAGATCCAACCACTCTCCAAGAGACTGCAACGCTCCCAATGCCAAACAAATTCGGGATAAAGTATATAAAGACACTGAAAAGACAGACAGCGGTCAATATAAAATCCACAACATTACTGATGAGGTGCTATGCGCAACGTGAGGGAAATCTTTGTAACGCCAACAAAACCACCAAGCGTAATCGTGTATTCTGACGAGCAGATGGAAGGCTTGATGACAAACTGCATGGAAACAAAATGGTAGTGTTATTGGAATAGACAGAACTTTCAATCTCGGGCCTTATTTTGTAACAATCCCAACATACAAAAATCAGAAAATTCTAGAACGCGAGACGCTTCAAAATCTTATTTTCCTTGGACCATCCTCTCTACACTGGGATGACGAAACTGAAACTTACTATCCGTTTCTCTGCCATATTAACGCCAAGTTAGGTTACCCGTCCCAACTGAAAATCGGAAGTGACGAAGAAAAGGCCATTAAAATGCCATCCATCAAGCATTTGACGAACCCATTCACCTCCTATGCAGATAAAACCACACCAGAGGAAACGACCGACAGCTGAGCGTGTCAGGCGTTAATTTCGATCCGTGAAGTAAACGCACTTAATTATATCGAATGTAACTAAATATGATTACCTGACTTTCCATGATGTGAGTGTGCCTAAACCGAATATGACTTAATGTTATACCATTTATGACTACGAAGGGGTTTCTTATTTTAGAATTGTACAAGGGATTGAACAAGGAAATTTGGACTGGAACAATCAACAAGTTTCCTGGGAAATTATATACAGATGCTAAATAAATCTTCAGTCTTTTGTCAATGAATTTACGAGACTGGGCATCTAACTCCAAAGAATTTAATAAGTGTATTTCTCCAGCTGATCAAGCCAACAGAGAAACCATAAAAATTCTTGGTTTATCTTGGAAACTTTCTGAGGACTCCATATTCATAAACAGTCCAAGAGATGAAACTCAAATTCCACCTATCACCAAAAGAAAAGTTCTTGAAAGAGTTGCTTCTGTTTTTGACCCACTTGGATTTTTCACCCCAGTTACTTTTAGGGAAAAATTGTTTCTACAAACATTATGGAACCAAAAGAGTGGGATAAAGAATAATATTGACAAAAGAAGACCTTCAACACTGGGAAAATATATCCTCAGATCAGGATTATATTCCCAGTTGCGATATTCCTCGTTTTATTGGACTTTCTGGAACACTGACATACAATTTAATGTGTGTGCCGCCCGCGTGGCTCAGTGGTTAGAGCGTCTGCTCTAGAGTCGTGGAGTAAGGAGCTGATCCTTACGTCGCGGGTTCGAATCCACTGCGGAATGTGGAGACCGGTCCTTCGGATGAGACCGTATAAACCAAGGTCCCGTGTCGCAGTAGGTGTTGGCACGAAAAAGGTCCCTCAATACTAAATGGCCCTGAGTGCCGAGTATAAGTATAAATTTGCAGCCCTCCATCGACAAGAGGTGGCGTCTCCATATGAGTGAAAAATTCTCGAGAGGGACGTTAGACAACAAACAAACACTGTAATGTGCTTTTGTGATGAATCAACTAAAGCATTTACACCAGAGCAACAATGAAAGAACTATAGTCAACCTGCTGTTTTCAACAACTCGATTAGTGCCACTCAAGAAAATAACACTACATAGATTGGAACTGTTAGCTGTTGTCATTGAAGTCCGATGCATACACTTTGTTGAACAGCAACTTAAGTTAACCATCACAAAAAGATCCTTTGGACCGATTCCCAGTGTGTATTGCATTGGATTAGAATGAAGAAACCTCTAACAACTTTTGTGGAAAACAGAGTAAAAGAAATCAGAAACAACAAAGATATCAATTTTCAATATGAATCTACAAAAGATAATCCAGCTGATATTGCAAACAGAGGAACAACAGTTACAACTCTCCAAGAAATGGAACAATGATGGAATGGTCCAGAATGGTGAATTAAAAGAGAGATGGCTGGCCTTCATGGAACAGTTAACAAACCTGTAAGGAAGTTCAAAATGCCATGGAACCAGAATGCAAGACTCCAAAGATACTTTATGAAGATAAACTGATGGCTGGGGAGAGTGTCCTAACAGAAGTAAAAACAATTCAAATTCTGACACATCTGGATATCCAAGCATTATTGACTACCAAAGATTTTCATAATTTTACGTCTTATTCGAGTTTTAGCATGGATTCTAAGGTTTATCAAAGGAGTGAAAAAAAATTCAGATGCCTTCGATCATCTTACTTCCTCAGAACTACAGAATGCCAAAATTCTTGTGGTAAAGAATATTCAAACTCAAAATTATAGTGATTAGTGATATCAAAAATCGTGCTCAAAGAAATTATTTAGTCAACTAGGACTGGTATTAGATCAGGAAGGCATTATCAGATACATTGGAAGACTCGAAGATGCTCAGCTGTCAGAAGGAGCAAGAACTCCCACACGTCTTCCAGGAAAGAACCATGTAATGGGGCTAATTATTGATTACATCAATAAAAAATCATTTCATGTCGGAGTTTCCCAAACATTGTCATTGGTTAGTCAAGAAAACTGGATTCCACAGGGAAGATTCGAAGTAAAAAGAATACTACAGAAATGCACAGTTTGTAAGCGGTTTGAGGGTGGTCCTTACAAGATGCCACATATGCCTCCACTACCAATGCAACGTGTGAGTGAATCGGCACCATTTACATACACAGGAGTGGATTACATCGGACCAGTCTTCATTAAAACAGGAACTGGGAGTAAAAAGAAATGGTTCTGTGTACTTACCTGTTTGATAGTAAGGGCTATACATCTTGAACTCATGCAGGAAACGTCCACTGAACAGTTTTTACTAGGACTAAGGAGATTTATTGCACGTTGGGGCAAGCCAAAACTAATTATCTCCGATGATATGGTGCTCAATTCAAACTTGCAAGCCTGGTGTTGGAAAAAAGTTGGGGAAAAGTCACTTCTGATAAAGATGTCCAAAATTATATCGCAAATGAAGAGATTCATTGGCAATTTATTGTGGAACTGGCACCATGGAAGGGATTTTATGAACGTCTGGTTGGTGTTGTCAAAGGATGCTTAAGAAAAACTATAGGAAAACCCTGTTTAACAAATGAGCAGATGAGAACTATGCTTGTAGAAGCTGAGGCAGTTGTGAAAACTAGACCCTAAGTCTACATTGGAGACGATATTAATTCAAACATCACCCTAGCTCCAGCACACTTTGAATCCAAAAATACGACTTCAAGATAGTGAAAATTTTGATCCCATGGATCCAGACTATGTATACCATGCAAGCTCTGTGAACACTTTATTGGCAATTTGGAAGAAAGGTTAACGACCTTTAGATACATTCTGGTATACATGGAGAAGTGAGTATTTTCTAAGTCTAAGAGAAAGAACATCTTATAAATTAAAAGAAAAACGAATTCAACACAATAGACCTGTAAAAGTTGGTGTTGTTCTTATCAAAGAAGATCTCCCTAGAGGAAGCTGGAGGATGGGAAGAATTTGTGATTTGTCAAATCAGTCAAGATGGTCAATTCAGATCGGGAAAGGTTATGTTACCTAACAAAAGGACATAAAACCGACCTTTAAATTTACTCTATCCTGTAGAATGTATCGATGAATCAGATCATAATACAGTGATATTCCTCCGTTGTGATGTCAAAATAAGTGCAAAAATTTTGGGTACTTTTCAATGATATCAAACACATTAGCTCCCGTTAAACGGTTTATATTTTATCAAACAGTCCTCAGAACTTTTCAAATGCCCCTCGTATATATGTCTGTGGTTTTTGATCATGTAAAGGATAAGACAGGATTAGAATCTTTTCTGGCGCTAGGTTTGGGGTGCCTCTTAGAACGGTGCAATGCTTCATAATTAAAAAAAATGTTCTTATCCTTGTTTGTTTGTTTGTATGTTGTTTAACGTCCCTCTCGAGAATTTTTCACTCATATGGAGACACAACCACTTGCCGGATGGAGAGCTGCAAATTTTGTCCTATACTCGGCACTTACGGCCATTGAGCAATGAGGGATCTTTGTCGTGCCAGCACCTACTGCGACACGGGATCTCGGTTTACCGTATACGGTCTCATCCGAAGGACAGGTCTCCACGTCCCACAGTGGGATTCGAACCCGCGACGTTAGGATCAACTCCTTACTCCTTCACGACTCTAGAGCAGACGCTCTAACCACTGCGCCACACGGGCGACTTTCATCTTGTAACAAAATGACTATTGATTCTAAGTGAAAGCATACACATAGAGATAACAGGAAGGTCACAAAATTTGTGAATTCCAAATGTTCACATTTTTATTTAAATTTTAATCTATTTTAAAGCCCAATTTGTTTCAGAAAACACTGGCCGTTACGGTAGCTCAGTCGGTTGAGCGCTCGCTCCGTTATCGGAAGGTCGTGTGTTCGAAAGACGGCCGCGACTGACCTAAGTCGATAAAAATAGGTAGCAACTGTTCCTTCGCCAAGCGCTCGGCACTTTGAAGTGAAAGTTGCGGATCCTTCGGATGAGACCTTAAAAACCGAGGCCCCGTCTCACGGTAGGCGTTGGCACGATAAAGAATCCTCACTGCTCAATGATCCTGAGTGCTGAGTAAAGGTCTAATTTTGAAGCCCTTCACGGGTATATAGTGACGTCTCTATGTGAGTGAAAAATTCTCGAACGGGACGTAAAATAACATACATTCAATCAATCAGAAAACACAGAATACAAGCTTGCCTATCTACCTTTATATATTTCATGCACAAGTATTAGAAATAATTTGTGTATGAAATATCATACAGGCAAGCTTGTGCTATGTATTTTTAGAGGTAAAAAATATCTCGGATAACGAAATTCCATCAGTATTGAAGAAATTTGATAAAAAAATTTCCCCTTTCTCACTCTCTTGTGGTCTCCTTGAACGCTTTGAATCAAAATCAATGCTAGTTATAAAACGATCATGATATTTTTTTATAATTGTAAAAATTATCACAATTTTTAGCTTATTTTAATATCAAATTAGCGCGAAATTCAGCTGTTACCAAGTCCTTTATTAACAAAAAGCAAAATAAAAATGCCATTGTTTAATTCTTTGGTTTTTATTTAACTCAAAACATTTGGACGAAACCACGGGGAATTGGGGCGAAATCACTCGGATTGCACGTGTCACGGGTTTTATCCCTGGTCCAGCCGGTCTGGTTTCCTGCCACTTTTTAAATTGTTTTTCTTTTATTAATTGCCAAAAAAAATTGATATGCATGGCATATTTGAACAAGTTTCATAAAAAACAGTCGATATTAAGACAAATGAATGTCTTTCTTTTCCTATTCTTGATCTTATGTCTTCATCTGTACTTCCATTCTTACCTGTTGACAATGCTACCCAGATATTTGCACTTGCCTTCCAAGGTTAGAGGGGAGCCTTGCTTCATGTTGATTTGGAGTTTTTTTTGTATGTTTGGTTTTTTTGTTAAAAAATATAGACCTTGCTAATTTCGCAGCTCTTTGAATTACTCCGTATATTGGTGGATAAACTAAAATTGATGCTACACCAGTCCCAAATCATCTGCAAAATCAAGGTTTTTAGCTGAGTTGTCAGGGTCCAATTTAAGTCGCGTAGAGGTGTCACTGTGGTCTAGCTGAATCCAGTCCATCACTATGCAGAAGATAATGTGATACAGAAGCAATCTTCGTGAACTCCACTGCGTACATCAAATGATGTTGAGAGTGTGCTGATCTGTGAAAGACTTGCCACTTTTTATTGTTATATAACCCTCGTGGCTAGGATAAGGCTGTCCGAAGAATGTCACAGTGTATCAGCCACAGTAACTTCTCTCAACTATCTAGATATGACGTCATAATGGCATATGACGTCAAGTCACTGCAAATTTGAGCAGACATGACGGGGAAAGTGTCATAACTTTTACATCCCTTTCTCATCATATGTAGAATTTTTTTTACGTCGATATTTAATTCATGTGTCTGGATTGTTGTTTTAAGGCTGTTATGATGGTGATTATTTGCAGTATAATATCGTTATTCCTTTTTCTTGTCTAACATGTACGTATTCAAACAATTACAAAAAAAAAATGTGAAACGCTCCCCCTTACGCGTCTGTAGACAGAGTGAGAATTTATAAATCGTGTATATATTAGACTGGCACAAGTGAATAATAAGGATTAATTGAAGATATTCTGTGTGAATCTACTAGAGAAATATGTCCTCTAACTGAATTTTGCTGGGGGATTGTATGTAATTTATCCCATTTTGTATAAATTACGATGAAGAGTTGAAAATGACCCCTTGTATGTGGGTAAGTTGAATTTCTCGTGAAATATTTTCTTAAGAAATAAAATTCAGACTTGCCCCCAGCACTTTATATATACCTAAGAATACGTTTAATTGATTTATGTAACAAGCCGTTCACAATAATTTTGTTTTTCACATGTGCCGATGCGAATTTTAAGGAAACATTTAAGAAAATGTATGTGTCCGTCACGTGATGAACCAAGTCATGTGACATCACAGAAATCCTTTTTTATAATACCTTATTCAACTCTCTTTACAACTTAACTATGTATGTATACATAGATTACAAATTAAAATCAAAACATAGCTCAAAAAATAGTATATATCTAATGCATATTAAGCCTTCGGACAGCCTTAACATAGCTGCGCTTGGATTATTTTTACAGTCTTTCTAGGGACCTTTAGGAAGATTACCAACAACTTGATTCAAATCAGAAAAATCTAAGGAAAAAAACCATTTATACTAGTGCATAGTGTAACTTGTTTTGTGCTTTCATTTAGCGTTTCATCTTCATATACCCTACCTATCCTTTTCTGTCCCGCTGGAGCATAAGGTCAACGCAAGACTAAGCTTGCTTCTTGGCCATGGTTTTTGCCTCTCCCCAAGTCAGGTGAAGGTCTTTCAGTTCACCCTCGATTGTCTTGCGCTAGGTGGATTTTGGTCTCCTCCTTGGTCTTTTTCCTTGTGGTGTAAATCTTTGTGCGACTTTTGGAATTCTTGATCCTTCCATTCAAAGGATTCTTTAAGTTGAATCTTAAGTACTAATTACTGCCCCTAGGTAGACAAATTTATCAAATTGTTTAATTTCATTTCCATCTACTTCTTGTTTATTTTTAGAAGAATCTCATTTCTTCAGTTTTCTTGGTGTAGGGTTGCGGACCAATTTGACTGGCATAGTGGCTGAGTCGTTGCGATTTTACTTGCATGTGGTCTTTTCGAGATGCCAGAAGGGCAATATTATACTCAACAAAAAAGTTAAGGGTTATAAAAATCTTCATTTATAATTTCTATATCGGAAAAGTATATTTAATCAATATAAATCACGAAGTTTCTTCTGTGAAGTAACTACACGTTTGATGAAAAACCAATGTAAATGTTCACTTGTACAGAAGAAAAGGCTAACAATTATGGACACCCTCTTAATCAGAGTGAAAATCAATATCCAGTAATTGCATAATTATTAAATTAAAAAACGACAATTGATCCAACAAATGTCAACAGTATGTGTGGCCTCCCCTTGCCTGAATAACAGCCCTGCATCGCCTCGGGAAACTTCCAATGAGTGAACGGATGGTCCTTTGGGGAATGCGATCCCATTCCTCTAACAGAGTAACTGCAAGTTCATTGGTATTGGATGTAGCAGGATCCCGTTACTGAATCTGCCTTTGTAGAACATCCCAGACATGTTCAATAGGATTGATGTCTGGTGACTTCGAAGGCCATTCCATTCTCTCGATAGTCTCTTCTTCAAGATACTCGACGTTTGCTCTGTGTGGCCTGGCGTTATCATCCATAAAACGACATCTGTTCTTATGGCCCCGGCAAATGGTCTCACGATTGGGTGAAGAATCTCATCTCCATATCTGATAGTCAGTGCTCTATTTCTGATGATGTACAACTCTGTGGACCCCTGATAGAAATGCCTCCAAACCATAACAGAACCTCCACCGAAGCGATCATGTTGAGCCACACAGCAGTCACTGAAACGCTCGTTCTTTTGTCTCCACACTCGTCGCCTTCCATCATTAAAATCCTTGCAGAATTTGGATTCG